TTGCTGTACATTATTTTCATGTACATTGTAATCCTCAATAGACACACATATCACAGTCATCAACAGAGATTTACAAATCTGTTAGTGTTTGGCAACAAAAATAGCAAATTGTCTTGTGACACAGATAAAGACAAAGTTAATGCAGTGGCCAGTGGCCTACACAAAGCAATTCTAACCAATGTCTACTTAGACGTACACCCCATTGAATTCAGTGAAGCTTACTCTCAGGTAAATGGGGTTAGGACTGCAGTCTATTTCACTAGCTTGATTTCATAGTTCAGTATAAATTTGTCATCCCATCTTAACCCCCTGTTAAACTTTGGCTCCTTGTGTCCTGGAGTGTATCAATTTCTCTTTTGCGCAGATTAATGGTAATTGCAGGCCCAGGCATCGTGCTCCCCAGTCCCCACCCCACCCCCCAGATAAATAAAGGACCACTAAGACTGGTTTGGATCAAAACAGGCCACAACTTTATTGAATACAGATGAAAGAGGTTTGGCTTGGCATTGGGCAATCAAGATATTTCCGGCCCGCCCACCGGAAATGACGCGTAGGTCAATCCAGGCGGGGTCTCCTAAGTCTTACATCAAATAGGGTGACCCCCGAAGGGACCACAACGATTGCTATGAGGTAGGCAAAACAACTGGGCTGGAGCAAATTTGCCTGGTGGACAAATGCCTACCCGGCCCCATAATACGGCGACCACCATAGCCACAATATAGCTTACGCCCCCGCCACCTATCCAGACAGAGCATTATGCCATGATTCCCTCGTCAGGGCCTTAGAGGAGCCTCTGTCGTCCCGCAACCCCACCATACTGAAAGGGTGAGCAAACATAGCCCTATACAAGTCCTTTTTGATTACAGCAATTTGGTTCATAAATCTGTACTTTGTTCGGAAAATGGTCATGTGTGTGTGCTGAAACAAAGGCTCCAGCTAATTTATGAAAATGTTCGCTGTAAACATGATTTTACATTTGACAGCTTTATATTCGTATTTGTGCCAATGTGCTGTGAATAAATTCACAGCACAGAGGACACTGAGTAAAGAATGAGTTATAAGTGAGTTATAAGTCAACAAAACTTCAAGTTGGGAGGAAGGAAAGCACCTAAGATTTTGCTGGCAGTGGATCGAGGACAATCTTAAAATACAGATTTAGGGGATGGATCGAAAAAAAATAATGGTCAAATCCAGATAGTTCTCCCGAAGAGGCTCGGTCTTGAACTGAGGCGTACAGATAAAGTCTACAGATAACAAAAAAAGGAATAGCATTCACAATAGGAAAAGGATTGAGGATGCAATTCTAAACCCAGATATCTGAGAGTAAGCTCCATTTAATTCAACGGGTCTTATTGTAGGAAACTAAGGTGAAAAGCATGCATAGCAAGATTCTGTGACATGATGCATGTCAAATGGGCAGATAGAAGGAATTCCACCTGATCATTTTCAGTGGATTCCTCCCACACCCTACTTAAGTGCACAACCCCTAATGAAATCAGCAAGGCTTATGGAGCAGTCCAAAGGACAGCCTAGCAGGGCATTTGAATGCTGGTTTGCCACTGGGGTGGTAATGCTGCTGGTACACCTGCAGAAAGCATCACAGGTGTAATGTCCATCAACAGTAGAGGTTATGTGATTTGGGTGTCAGGGACAGCCACGTATTTGTAAGATCCTAAGCCCCCTTATTTACTAGACACCCACACATAAACTGCACCAGTTCTGGATCTGGCAAAGAAATTATCTCCTATTGGTAAAGACAAAAGAAAACAAGGCTAAAAGAAATGGCCACAATGAAACTGCAGAGCTTAGGAAGTGGCAATATCTGAGCCACTGGACTTCTCCTTTCCCAATACAGGATTGCTCTGTTAAGCACATATTAAGTGTCATAGATTTCCATTAGATTTAAGCATGCCTATCTCCTTACTGAGTCATTAGAACAGACTAGAGAGCAATAAAAACAAAATGCTAGGTCCATCAATCTACTAAAGTGTATTTGTTGATCTATAAGTAGTTTTGTTTGCGGAACAAATAGAAAGGGGCTTCCTTATTTTTTGCAACGCTCAGATTCCTGGCTGAGTAGATGCTGGGTTGTTCTGTATAAAACAAAAATGGAAACATACAATTTCAGACAAATGGAGTTTGTTCCTCACATAAGCCACAACCCAGAGAACTGTGACCAGGCAATGTTCTGGACACGATGATACGTGAAGGAAACAAGCAGCTTAGGTGATCTGTGCTTCCTGTTCATTGCATTTCTCTGACAGGATAATCTGCATTGATTTCAGATCATGTGACGGAAAAATGCGAGGCATAACTCAATTGCCCATGCTGCCAGGCCAACATGGCATCTTCAGACAGCTGCCAGGGTTCTGTCTAGTGTGGTAACACCAACCCGCACCCCCCAAAAAAAACACATTTAAACATTATTTTATTTTATTTTATTTTATTTGCACTGAATAGTTGCGTCTGAGAACTGCCATTTAAGTTTCCCCCAGTGCTCCCAATGTAGCATTGCTCTGAAACATGATGGACAATTAAAATTGGTGGGGTCCAGTGTAGAGAGCAGTGCTTGTTGGCATCTGTCTGTCTCAAGAGACAGTGGAGTATGTCTCTGGGGGTAAAGTCAAACGGCTGTGTTAGCGGCACCAAAGCGACCTCCCTCTTGACCTCGTCAATGTGGTCCAATGGAAGCAGAGCAATGTGTTTGGCACCAGCTTGGCTGCAGGAGTTGCTGGAAGGAGGCATACAAGACACCATCCAACCATCTTAGGGGCTCCATTCTGGATTTGTATAGGGTTTACTCCTTAGCCTTTTCTTCTCCCAAAGATGTCCCACAAGACAGTGGAGGTTTAGGATCAGAGTTTTCTTTCTTCTCCTAGATGGGCTACCTTCCCATCTAGAGACAAGCTCCATCTGCCCCTCACTTCCCTTTACAGTACATAGTGGGAAAATTAATTAGTGCTCCTATTTCAGAGGGATCTCATTAGGAGGCACTTTGCCAAAGATCCTGCACCCAGGATCCGCATCCAGCCCAACTTTGCCAAACTTGCACCCAGCTCAACTCTTATTTCCATAATAGATCTGTTCTGACTGTTCACACTCAGTGGAGCGATTTGCCTTTTTCTTCTTTTGTGTGTTCTAGCAAAGCACTTTCGAAAAAAGGGACTCACAAAAACAGTTCAGGATGCAGCATGCTCAATTGATGTTCCCGGAGTGGGTGGGGAATAAATCCCACTGGAAACCGACAAGCACTTAGTGATGGTGTTCTGCATTTGTAGGAATTTTTTCTTATCTTAATAGTATTGGTTGCCTGTTGTGCTCCTTCAGTATTATTTGTGGGGTGCTAGCATCCAAAATGCATATGTAAAGAGTTTAATTGCAAGAGCTGTAGAACTTTGTGATGTCATGCACTCCGAGGCAGTTATGGCGGTTGGTACAGTTATGGCAGTTAGTTGTACAGTCTTAACAATTAGAGCAGCACATGTGTTGTGTTGTGTTATGTTGTTGTGTTGTGTTGCTGTCTGCCTCAGAGTTAGTTAGTCTGTAGCAGTTTAATTCATGTAGGAAGGTTTTATCAATTTAAGAAACATCCACCTGCATTGTAGATTTTAATCTGCAAGTGCAAGTACACTAAGTAAAAGTTGTATATTTTTAAAACTTTAAACAGAGAGTGTCTTGCATAGTTTTTATCGAAGGGAAAAAGAGAACTAACTGCATACTCGGCAAATGGGAACTAGACTCTAATTCCCACATTATTCATATTCAGTAACACTCAGCATCGGCTAATATTTCAATCCAGGGAGCCAACTCCTGGGGGCCCAACTGAAAAAGGACCCCCAATATTTGGGGGGGGCACTGTCCAAAAAAGTCAGGGCCAAACATGGAGCCAAGTGGTTTCAGTGGTTGGCTCCTCCTCCTGCCACAAAGAGGAAGGAAGGGGAAGCAGCTCCTGTCCAGTGGCAGCAGCAGCAGGAGGAGGAGCTGCCAGCCTTTGAAGCCATGCTGCTGCCATGTTTGGCTCTGCCCTATTGCTTCTCCTACATTGTGCTACTCATTTTGATTTGTTGACCGCTTAGAGGTTTTATTAGAGGTATATAAACGTTGTGAAATAGAATCAATAAAAGAATCCCACTTTTGCAAGCTTGCAAGAGGCCACCTGAACCTCTATTACAGGAGTAGTCGTCCTGGTGCCTCCAGATGTTGCAGGACTGCGGCTCCCATCATCCCTGCCCATTGGCCATGCTGGCTGGCGTTTGTTGGGAGTCGGAGTCCAATGACATCCCAGAGGCAGCACATTGGCTGCCCCTGTCCTATTGCAAAGTTGTGTGACCCTTACAGAGGGCTAGCACGCCATCTTTGTAAATCTCCCCTGGCAAAATTTCATCCAAACAAGATTTGGGTAACGAAACTACAGCACGGCATGATTGGCTCAATTGACTGAAAACTAATGATGACTGCAATAACGTGTGTTTGGGTCGCCAGGCCATTTGCATGTTCTTTCCAATGGCGCTGGCCTTTGTTCCCTGTTGTTTAATGGCCTCCTTTTCTTCTCTCGTAATGAGTACTCCGAGGTGTGCTAATGAACAGCAGCCATGGATGCTATAGGCAGGCTGTGCGTGTCATGTCACTTCTCCCGTTGCTTCCTGTTGCGCTAAACAATGGTCACTGAGGATGATTTAATTAAATGCTACCTCTGATGCATGCAGATCTGAAAGGCAGGGTCCTTGTGTGGACTGGGCTATTTTTAGCTCTGCCAATGCTTGAGCTGCTTATCCATCAATACCTGTTATCCACATTTTGCAGTGTAGCAAGCATGAAGTGCTTTTGACTCGTCCCATCATTCCCAGCATTGCCGTAGTGCCTGCAAAACAACATCCTTCAGAAACATGCTGTCAAGTGCTTTGCTTTGGCCATAAAACAACCTTGGATATCTCCAAAGTGTTTCAATAATGCTTTTCTTCTCTTCCTCCCCCTCCCCACCTCCCACCTCCCCAACCTAGGATGTAATTGGAAAAGCACTGCGGTATATTGGAACATATGGAGAGCTCAGTAATACGGAGCAAGTTCTGGCTCTGATTGATGAGGAAATGTGTATCAACTGTGGCAAATGCTACATGACCTGTAATGATTCTGGCTACCAGGTAAGAGTACAGCTGTAATTAGCAAAAGGGCACTGTGAGTTATCTTTTTCGCTGCTGAGGCAGAAGGGATCTACTGTCTGTTGATGGGCATGTGGGAAAAGGAGATTTACAAGATACTGGAAATTAACACTGGTGCACTCTCAGGTATAGACTGCATGAACCGTGTCCGATCCATTTGCAGGGGTTGTCAATAAAGCAGGTTTCGTAGAGACTTGGGATGCACAGAGCACACGCCTTCAGCTCTCCCTGATTATTTCTGCTGCACAGCATCCAGAGTGGAGCTGCCATGTTGCTCCCAATATTGCAGGCTGCAGAAAACTGCGGAAGATCCACACTGGGGTTATGAGAATTGTGCTTGCAATGGGGCCACACGTCCCTTTTGACAGTGTACATGCCAGAGTCTAAACAAATTATGTAAAACACCAATAGGTTTCAGCTGATTCAGTGACAACCTCGGTATCAGAGCAAGGAAGTCTTCAGCTTCCATAAGGCACATAGTATAGATTAAATAGCAAATATCTTGAAACTAAGGAAGTAAGTTGTTGCTGGGGAAGGCAAGGCAGTGTGGTGGTAGTGAGCCCTCGTTCACACCAGCATCCTGATCCAGTGAGGATACGAACATACACAACTCCTACAATTATGTGTCCACATTGCAGTGTGCATACTGGCCTTCTGCATCTTTCAGTAGAGGTGGGCTTTCATATCTGCAACTACTAGCTGTGCGCAACATGCGGAGCTAGCACTGGACTGGAGAACAGGAGCTTTGTGCTGTCTCATTGGTTTTTACTGTGCAGTCTACCACTGTACGCTTTAATTTGAGGCTGACTTTGAATCATGCAGTTGTTTTAATTCCGCCAGATCTGGCTTTTTACCCAGACCTCATGGAAAAGCAGAGAAACTCTGCAGGTGCATGTGTGTATGTTTACGCACTTTCTCTGTGCCTGCTCAACACCGAGAGCATGACCTAGGAGCGCAGGGAGAGAAGTGAGCAGAGATGCTGTGCCTGCGGCACTCTCTTCAAATCCCAAATGTGCCCATAGGCCCAAAATGTTTGGCAACCCTTGCTCTAGCTAGATAATCCTGTAAATGACCTCCCCCACAGAGGCTGCCTGCCGGAAGCAGTGATACATTTATTTATTTATTTATTTGGTGTATCTTTTCCCAACGTTTACCCCTCTCAACCAGCCCCGCCTGCACTGCCGACTTGCAGTCTTTGCTGGTACATTGCTTCCCCTCAGCTCCACCGGTCAGATCAGATTTGTATGTCTGCTTAAGGTGAGCTGGCAAAGCACATGTTCTCCGCAGTAGCTGCAAGCAGCAAGCAAACCAAAAATCAGGGCCTGGAGCAGAACAGCCTGTCTGGGTCCGCAGAGATATTTCCCCCCCAGAAAAGGGTTAATGCAAGTAAACATGAAGTTTAAAACCCAGCTTCACATAGTTGAAAACTATGGAAACGGAAGATAAGAGAGCCACCAGTGCTGAGTTTGTCGTACAGAGCGCTGTTATCAAAGACCATCATAGTCTAATAAAAATGTACTATAATATGTTACAGTGACAGTGCAAAATAATTTAGTTCACTTGCAGCAGCAATAATGTTTCTGGTGTTTTGTTTTTAACAATGGAATAGTGGCCTCTTTGTGCCAAAGGAACTTGCTCTGAAATGAAGCAGCGGCAACAGCAAGAAAAAGAATGTGATTAACCCATGCATTTCAAAGGGGGCAAAGTAATGCAAGGTGCAAAAAATAAAGCACATTAGTGCATGCAGTAGGTAGCATTTGGCTGTGCCTGGGCTGTGGTTAATTTCTAAGCAGGGTGTTGCAGTCGCCGACTGAAAAAGTCGCACTAACCCTGACCAACAGTCCTTGCACTCTAATAATTGATCTGGCGGTGCTAGTTGGGAAGCCCTGGTGGTGATTCCCTGATGTACAGAGCTGTGCTAGGTCTGCTTGCCAAAACCTGTAGCCTCTCTGGTCTCTTTTAAGTATTCAGTTTTGCATCATAGTAGCTGCTGCCTCGTTGGCTGCTTCTCCTTTGATTCAGGTATGTGGATCAGATTTCTAATGTGTTTGCAAACAATGCAAGGAGTGTCCAGCCCTTTGAGAGGTCCACTGTGTTGTGTGTGGTTTGCCAAGCTGCCAGGAAGCTCAGCCATATGGGGAGTAGAAGTCTTTGCATTAGGGACAGAGGTTCATGCTCCCTAATCCTGGGGCAGCATTGCCTGGGGAGATGGAGCCATGAGCCTAGGTGTGCAGAGCAACAGGGGTGACTCTTACCTCAGTAATGGAGGCATTACACAATTTGAGGACGCATCCCAGTCAGGCAAAAGTTCTTTTATCTGGAGCAAACAAAGAAAATGGACCACTAGAGAAGGTGGCCTCCACCCAAGATCCTCCCAAGGAAAATCAAAGCAGTCATACATGCCTAGCCTGTTCTTCAGAAATGGAGCCAACACACATTGACAACGTTAAACAACAGCATTTTAAATAAACATGCAACACCAGATGGTGCTGCAGAGCAGAAAACTTTTCTATGTAATTTTACATAGAAATTAAATCATTTTAAGAAAAAAAAGCTGACTTATTTATAGTGTGTTTTTTAGCTGTGTATAGATCCACCTCTAGTGTAAATCAGTAAGCCGCCTTCGGAGTTTATTCTCTGAAGGGTGCTGTCTCAGGCTCTGCAGAAGCAGAATAAGGAAATAGGGCATTTCAGATACACACTGAAGATTTATCAAGCGTTCCAAAATGCGTTTTTAAAAGATGTGTATCATTCAAGGAAAATTCATTGGCTGCAGCTCACTGATGAATTTATGTACACCTTCTGGCAAAACCAAGAGTTGCTGCTGTTTTCAATGACTTTATGTAGCTTATTATTATTACTATAGTACCACTGTTATTAATATTAACATTTGTGGAAATCTTTCTGCAGAAGCCACGCAGAACTGAGCTGTTTAGCTTTCTGCAATAATAACACCAGTAAATCATTGTGCTCTGAAAGATTGATTTCACAGAAAACAAAAATATCTTCATGGAACTTAAATATCATGGACACAACATGTCCTGAGGCTCGAAGGCTCGACTCGGTTTTTAACTAAAAATGGTGTGTGTGTTGATTTCTAGCAGGGCTACTGTGTTCATAATTTTTCAAAATGCATTTTCTTAATGGTTGAAACTGTTACTATAGCTGCAGTGCGGAACCAGACAAAGATGTCTCCAAGCACCTCAACTACAGGAAATGTGGATGCTAAAAATGGGGTTGTTTTTGACCTTTTCTGTGAGTGACATCAGTGCTGTTTATTTCTGCTTGCAGGCTATACAATTTGATCCAGAAACCCACCTGCCCACTGTTACTGACAGTTGTACAGGCTGCACTCTGTGTCTCAGTGTCTGCCCTATTATTGACTGCATCCGAATGGTTTCCAGGACAACACCTTATGAACCAAAGAGAGGCCTGCCCTTAGCTGTGAACCCAGTGTGCTGAGGTGATCAGACCAGCAGTTAAAGTGAACCTTACATTTACTTGATTCTATTGATTTGCTATCTAATTAGTACCAGCAACAACAACTATGTTAAAAAAGAATTGCGGGGGGACACCTAATGATGGGAGACTGCTATAATGTCAGCTGCATTTTCCAATTTAAATTTATTTTTTATTTAGTCGTCTTCAGACCAGCAGCGGCTAGTTTATCAAATGTTAGCTATCCTTGTCTCCCCACCCCCCACCCCAGAAGCAGAACTTTACTTTTTCTTTTTCTTTCTGCAAATTCTTGTACGCTATGATGGCTTTGGTGATTTCTTCCTCATAACCCCCCACAAAATTAGGAGAGGGGTTTCTCCCCGCTCCCACCAAATCAGCTAAACCCCAACACGCTAGCCAACTTTGTTACCAGGGAAACATTTGGTAATTACACATTTCATTTCCTTTTAAAACTGTTTTTTAGAAGATGTAATTAACTGCAAAACACACAAACAAAGCAATGCAGATTCAATGTGTGTGTGTGTTTTACAGGAGGATGTAAAAAGAGGTTTAAATGGGTATTTCTGAACTATTAATCAGTTTCAACGGCTGCAGCATATGGCACTGTATTACCTTAATTCTCCCTAAATTCTGCTTTTGACTAGGCATTAAAAACTAAATTTGCAAATACAATGCACTCTTCACCATTCAGTGCTTTTTTCAGTAGCTTGCATGATTTCTTTGTTTCTGTTAATGAATCTCCAGAGCATGTCTATTAGCTATATTATTTCAAATGCAAGTGTTAGCTCAAGAATCTGATTTATGGCGTCTTTCTGTTGCATCCGTGCACTCTTTGTAAGATGAGATTATTCTTGCAGTGCAAGGTGGCAATTCCTTTTTCGCCCATATAGAGAGGCTCTCTGCAACTTTTGCCAAACAAAAGAGAATGGTGCCAATTTTATCAGGAACAACCTGTGCGACGCAGAGCAGTTGGGCAGATACGCTAAGTGAAAATGTCACATACGTGAATGTTTCCAGCCCTACAGGTGTCCATTTCATGCAGGGATGGGAAGCCCACAGGTTTCCGCTGGGCCATATTGTCCTCACCCCAGACCAATACAGCCTCTGTGCTGAGTATACAGAATGGGGCCCAGATATTCCCTGTACCTGGCTAACACCGAGGTGCCCATTCCAGGCACACATCCTGTCTCCCGAAAGAGGGGCAGAGGAGCAGCCCAACGTTATGTGAAGTGCAGGAGGCCCTCACGTTTTGGGGAACAGCCTGGAGGGTTCTTGTGCATCCTGGACAGTGGCCTAACCCATCCATGTGGAAGTCACCCATGGGAAGCAGGCCAGAGTGGAAGCTTGTGGCATCCATTCCACAAGGGGCAGAGTTTTGTGAGTGAAAAGTTCTAGGCACAGTATAGCAATTTTATATCTCTCTTGTGCAGTATGGCTTGGGAAATGCATATAAATGAAGTTACGCTCACGTTCTGCAACTGTGCGGTAAGTAAGCGCCATGCCAGGAAGTGAATAACTTTTTAATTACATGAGAAATGTTTATTAGCCGTGTATTTCACTGCAAACAAACACACAACCAATTTAGGTTGAAAACTCTGGGGTAAATAGTTGTCAGCATATTACCGCCATATGTTGCAAAGGCATGTGTTTTATTTTTGAGTATTTGCTTCTCAGAAATAGAACCCGTGTCTTTGCGACATATGGCGGTAATATGCTGACAACTATTTACCTCAGAGTTTTCAACCTAAATTGGCTGTGTGTTTGTTTGCAGTAGAACTACAGTAAGGGAGGGAGAGACAGAGATTTCCCACTATTCAAAATTAGCATGTCAGTAACAGGGGCTGGGCGATGTTGGGTTTTCAACATTGTGGCGTATCACCAGCCGAGCATCGCGGTTTGGCGATAAACCGCAATGTTGAAAGAAGCTGTATTGGCCCCAGCCGGCAAGGCTTGGGGTGAAACTGCCACCGCTTTCACCCCAGCGGCCCCTGGGCTAATGCAGCTGGACCCAGCCTGCTGCTCAGCTGGGGAGAAAAGGGCTTCTGCCCCCAACTGAGCAATCTTCCTTGCCCCCCCCCAAAGACAGACCAGGCAGCAGTAGCCAAGTGCACAGAGCCTGTCAAGCTCCATACGTTTACCTTCGCCCATTTAGGAGCGTTGCCTCTATCCTCCTGCGGTAGTTGTTCGACCCAGGAGGAAAAGATGCAGCTAAGCAAAGCTACATCTGCCTGAAGAAGAGTTTGGATTTGATATCCTGCTTTATCACTACCCGAAGGAGTCTCAAAGCGGCTAACATTCTCCTTTCCCTTCCTCCCCCACAACAAACACTCTGTGAGGTGAGTGGGGCTGAGAGACTTCAAAGAAGTGCGACTAGCCCAAGGTCACCCAGAAGCTGCATGTGGAGGAGCAGAGACGCGAACCCGGTTCCCCAGATTACGAGTCCACCGCTCTTAACCACTACACCACACTGGAGCCCGCTGAGCAGCCAGAATCCCACCCCAACAAGCAAGCAGCAGCACAATCTCTCTGTTGGGGAGGGGGCACTTTAGCAGAGCCCCCACCCTGCCATGCAAGCTGATGGCAGGTCGGGGATCCGTAAAACTGCTTGGCTGAGGCGAGGGCAGCAGCGCGCGCCTCGCCAATGCACCTTGTTTCCTCATCTGCAACACTTGGAGGGCAGAGTACAATGCCGGTCTTGCTCGGGGTGTATTTCTGGTGAAACCGCCACTGCTCCTGAGTCCCTCTCTGCCTGCAGCCTGTTTTTCCCTCTGGGTGCTGGAGGCAGGGGGACTCGAGCGGTGGTGGTTTCACCAGTGATATCCTACTGAGTGAAGCTGGCATGCCAGTTCTGGGCGATATATTGCCCAAGCCTAGTCAGTTACAACTTATTCCTCATTTTCAGTTAGGGTCTTCATGCACTAGCTGCTGTATCCCAAAGAAAGCCACATGCTGTCTGATATTTCAAGTAGCTAACAATGGATCTCTTCATTTCTTTATACTCTCTGCCATCAACTTAAAAATACAAAATTTGGATCGTGCTTATTAAATAATCCTTATGTTCAGATTTCTGTACTTTTTACAATCAGAATTAAAGAACATTGTGCAACCTGGTTTGTATGTGTCTTTCTAAATGGCTTTTGCGGGGAAATCTGCAGTTTCTATTTCATCACTATCCATAGGGTGGTATTCAACTAATATTTTACTGGCCATAGTATTGTTGAAATTAATTAACAACCCTCCACAATTTGAGGGATATAGAGAAGCAATTCTTTTTATATATTTTTTTCAGGGATGGGGACCTCCCTGCATGCAGCAAAACAACAACAACAACAACAACCAGGATTTAAATGTGCAAATAAATGAAATAACCCATGCAGATTGTTCATTTTCAAGAGCTCTGCCCATAGCAACATGAAATTTCCTCCATAGGTGTGGCTGCCATTACTTATTTTTCATAAGAAATAAAATCCCAGCACACAACAGTAATTTTTACAGCATTAACAAATCAAAGATGATGTGTTCACCATTTTGATAGAGGACATATTGATTAATTCACTCTATCAGGCAATGTAGATACTGTGTAATTCTCCATCAACCTCATGGCACTTAGCTATAATGTTGCTAGGGAGAGAGATTCCCCCTCCATATTTAATAAACCAACATGACCAGATACACATGCCCTGTTGACACTTAAAAGGTAGCAATACTAAAGTGAACACAGGCATGTTAAAAGTACCTACTAACTCTGACAGATGTTGTGTTTTCTGTGGCTATGTGTCAGGGATCTTTTCATAGCTTTTAATTAATGTCAGGCCCTGAATAACATCCAAGCAGGTAAGCAAATCAAAGGCAAAGCAGATTAATGTGGTATTTTGACAGACTAAATCGATTCATAGCTTGGCTAAGTTGCACTGCTCTACTTCCATACTCTCTTGGAGCTATTTGGTTTTGTCTTTAAGTATGCCTAAACAACTTAGTATTTAAGTGGTATACAAAAGCACAACATAAAAACAGCAGAACAGTTTCATAAAAGTAAAGATGCAGACACAAAAACAGCATTTTGATATCTGGTAAGAAAAAGGCTTCTTTTCGATGGAACCCATAAAAATTTTTTTAAAATATATATATATCAAGAGTTTGTGTAATTTAAACAGTCTTGAACTTGTGAGGCTTGGACCACGTGCTTTCTAGAAAGTATCAAAAACCCAACAGTATTGCAGATAAAGCTACACTGTTGGTCTTGGGTGTGTCCTTTTGTCAGTCAAGCTTTAAAGCAGTGGTTCCCAAACTTTTTTGGGTGGTTCCATAAACTAATTTTCCCTATCCTATAGAAAGCATCGTTTAGAATAGTTCTTTGCCCAACCCACTAAGGAAGATAATGGATGCTTACCCCTTCCTCTGGGTGGGCGGCTGTTGGGGCTTCTTGCACTCTGCGGTCTTGGGGTGGCCAACTCAGTGGATCAACGTCTTGGGGAGGCCATAACCCTGGCACGACCCTGCAATGCCTCCAGCAAGAGGCTGGAATGGAATGTCTGAACCAAAATTCCACCTACATCTGTAATTAACAAAGTTGTGATCATTTTTAACCCAGATTCTTTGCCTTAGTTATTAAGCATATATCACACATAGACACTGACCTGGGAGTGGGCAGCTATGCGACTGGGCCCGCAATAACACAGTAAATTTCAAAACAAGAACAATTCATTGCACATTTTTTCAAAATCCAAGTAAAACTATTTAGTTTAATTAATTCAACAAAACTGATGAACTTGTTCCAGTGATACCAGCTTTTCAGAGTCTGATAGTCATTGACACCTCCACTGCCCACTTGCCTCCTAGTGCCCCACTACGTAATCCCAATGCCCACCCAGGGGGCAGTTCCACCCACATTAGGAAACAGTTTTTAAAAGGCTTAGCTACTAAACTGTCTCCTGGATTGTGTTCTGTAGTTATTCTGAGCATCTTTACACACCTAAATGGAAATAAACTTGGCCCAACTGCAAAGCCCTGAGGAGCTTCTGAGTCTCACACTCTCGTCTTGTACTTAAATTCAGATGAAATGTTTTCAGCTTTCTCTGGGAACGTTCTAGAAGAATGCATACCTTAGGAGTTTGTGTACAATCTCTTGATCTCTCTCAGAGATCTTCTTGACAAACAGATTCTATAGTAAGACAATTTTATAACAAGTTGCATCTTCTCACTTATGTCATCAATAAAAATAGAGGCCAAAGAAGAAGAAGAAGAAGAAGAAAAATTGTGGGTATGTTTGCAAGTCGTATCAAAATGCTCTTTCTGTCTTGCAACTTCCCCTGAGGACCTCAAGAGGCACCATTAAACAGACCACCTGCAGTGTAGTGTTATCTTGTTCTGAGGTGCTATAATTGTTCACCGTATTACAAGAACATCTTTGCCACAACGTCGAGAGTTCTTAATTCACAACTGGCATCCTTAATGTTGAAAGAAGCTAGCTGGCGTTGGTCACTACAGCTTTCCTGAAGCACAGACATGCAATGCAAAAATTGCCAGGGTTGCAAGAGATATAATTCTAAATATGTCATTATGCATACAGATTTCAGCATTCGTCTGCTTACTTGTGAGATAATGCTGTTTTAGATGTGTTGCGATTTCCTAAGAGATTCTCAATTATTTTGTTTTGTGGGAACAGGGTGGGCGGGGGTGGGGGACTCCCTGGTCTTGAATGGGATAACTGTGCCCCTGAAGGAGCAGGTGTGCAGCCTGGGAGTCATTTTGGACTCTCAGCTGTCCATGGAGGCGCAGGTCAATTCTGTGTCCAGGGCAGCTGTCTACCAACTCCACCTGGTACGCTGGCTAAGACCCTACCTGCCTGCGGACTGTCTCACCAGAGTGGTGCATGCTCTGGTTATCTCCCGCTTGGACTACTGCAATGCGCTCTACATGGGGTTACCTTTGAAGGTGACCCGGAAACTGCAACTAATTCAGAATGCGGCAGTCAGACTGGTGACTGGGAGCGGCCGCCAAGACCACATAACACCGGTCTTGAAAGACCTACACTGGGTCCCAGGACATTTCCGAGCACAAGTCAAAGTGTTGGTGCTGACCTTTAAAGCCCTAAACGGTCTCAGCCCAGTATACCTGAAGGAGTGTTTCCACCCCCATCGTTCAGCCCGGACACTAAGATCCAGCTCCAAGGGCCTTCTGGCGGTTCCCTCATTGTGAGAAGTGAGGTTACAGGGAACCAGGCAGAGGACCTTCTCAGTAGTGGCGCCCGCCCTGTGGAATGCCCTCCCATCAGATGTTAAGAAAATAAACAACTAACCAACTTTTCTAAAACATCTGAAGGCATCCCTGTTTAGGGAAGTTTTGAATGTTTATTCTGTTTTTAATGTTCTGTTGAAAGCTGCCCAGAGTGGCTGGGGAAACCCAACCAGATGGGCAGGGTAGAAATTATATTATATATTTTTATATTATATTATATTATTCAGAAATCAAATGCTTTTTGAGGATTTCTTCACTTTGTTTCTTCACTCAAGTTTTGGTGGGGAAAAGTCAACCAGCTTCTTCCCTTTTGTTCACAGAAGTTGGCTGAACAAAAGGACCATGACTTCTACAGATGACTTCGACAACTAATGCTTTCTAAGAGTATATCAACATGCTGAATATGTTTTTTAGGGTGGGATTATTTTAGCTGCCCAGCACCCTAAAGGCAATATATGCTGCAATCCTGTGCATGCCTAGGCAAATGAACATCCCACTGAGTTCAATTGGCCTTATTTCCAAATTACAGTGCAATATGAAGCATAGGAAACTGGTGACCTACCCATATTCCAAGCTTGATTCAGGAACTGGAGACTTGCCAGCTGACCCAGCTCGAACCTGGCAGATAGAAAACAAGTCTTTAAAATAGAGTTTGGCTGGCATGAGTCCCACTGGGTTGCCAGATCATGTGACTGACTTGGAATACATGCAAGTCTCTGCTTGCTCCACCTTTGGGTAACTTAAGATGGTATAAATTCCTCCAGCTTAAGTTCCTTTGCTGAGCTGCGGCTTAGCCAGCATGGTCAAACTCAGCCAGGTTGAAGGTGTTACGCTGGCATATTCATGGCCAGAACGAGGAACTTACACTGAAATAACCCTCACAAGATCTGCCTGTTCCAAACTCACTCAATCCTGATAGATCTTGGGTTTGGATTGCACTCTTAGAGTACATAGGATTGCCATAAATAAAGTAAAATACATAAAGTAAAAAATACAGCAAAATCCTGAAATAAAGTAAGTAATCTGGGTCCAATCCTAAACATTTCATGGTAACTTTCTGTAATGCAATTGGACAGATGGCATATCAAGACTGTCTTACCAAGAATCGGATGGTACTGTAGCTTCATCTCCTCTGTGAATTGTAATATCTATTCATATCCATGGCGGTGACAGGGTGATGCTACGTTGCTAAAGAGGTCACAGGTTTCACAGCTAGCCAGGTTTCCTTGGGGATAGTATAAAAAAACCAAACAGCATAAAATCAAAATGATGAATGCATGGGAATCAGATACTAATTACTAGGATTTATGTATTAGTAGCACTCTCTTAACTCTCTAACTTTTTGAAAGAAGAAAAACTAATTGGGCTCAACCAAGCCCTAAAATTGGCAGAATTATCTCCCTGTCTAGCTATATCTTGGCAGTCAGACAATCTAAATCTTCTCTTAATTTATTATTTTGTCAAAACTCTTGCTCGTACTTGGCTTCAGAGGGTTTTTGCACCTCTCAGATTATTCTTTTTTTTAAAAAAAGCATTTCACAAATTCAGATAAATATGGCACTGCTCCCTGACTTACACATGCTCACCTTTTCGTTGGCGCTATATTTTTAATTGCTAGTGATGCATGATGTTTTTGAAACCTGTCCTTAGAAATCTTCTTTGAACCCAAGAGGCTTGTTTTTGGCTTTCTCTTTCGAAATAAACAGCTGTAGACAGTGTTCGCATGTGGTAGTGAGTCAAGGTTGTTAGTAGGGAAGATATCTGATTGAATTCACATTTAAAGGCAAACTTACCTCATTTGAATTTCTGAAATGAGGTGTGAACTGAAACACATAACCTCCCTTCAAATTTTGCCCTTCTCCAAATTTTGCAGTGCAGCCAAAGTAATGATTTTCCAGGGTGATGTGGTTGTTGTTGTTGTTGTTAATTCAGCCATGGCATAGTTATCCTAGCACACCCTCTCAGTATTTTCTAGTTGGACAGAATGAGAAAGAATATGACTCTTAAGATGGCGCCAAACACCTCCAGCTGTTTACACTTATACTTTGAACCAGGTCTCAGTCTCTAAATCCAGCTCACCTGATGTGCCCTGCTGCCCTTTTCCATCCATCCTGCCTGAAGCCCTGTTACAGCTTTTTCAAGACAACCAAGCAAGAAGAAGGGACTAAAGGAGCAATAGTCTGCATCCTCATTGTCCCTCTCTTGGTTCTCTTTCTGGGCATTTAATATAGTATTGTGTGTCTGACAGCTATCCCCACTTACAATATTTTATTTTCAGTTTTACTCTTGCCTATGATCCCCCTCCTGCCCTCCGTATCTTCGCTTGAGATCCTCCGCTAAGATTGTGTAGCGTTAAACCTCTTTTGTCAGGTTTTAAACGTGCAAACATATATGCCACTTTATGCTACCAGTCTATTTATTGGATTAAGCGAGAGGGTTTTGATATGGAAGCTTAAGACGATATTGAAAACACATATCACTTCTATTGTAGCTACTAAAAATCAGCTTTAGAACTAGAGAGACCTTGTATCAGGCATTTGTGTGGAGACCTTTAGCTTTTTATCATGGCTGTTCTTTGTTGCTATGGCAATAGAATTAACCATTTCATTAACATAATGGAATAAACCGCATTCTAAACTTCTTTGTCCTCCCAGTTAATCCCCCCCCCCTCAGATTTCAAAATATTTAACAAGCTTGAATTCTGGGGGATTTCCCCCATGCCCAGGTTATTATCTCAATGCTTCTGAAGGATTTTTTTTTTTTAAGTGAGAGTGTATTTTATCATTACATTTCATTTTGCCTTCATTGGCTGCCTTCTGTTAAGCGTCCCCATGAGAAGGCAAGTAGACTACAGAACAAATGACCACTGGAAGAGAGGATACAGTCATTTAACAACCTCATAAAGGAACAAGAAAAAAAAAGAAAATCACTTGTTTCGTCTCAACCTCCATTCCACGTTTGGCAAGACAAGGGCTTTGTTCGTAGCAACTGCCTCCCTTTTCAGATTTGGTAAAAATGGAAATAGTATTAGTTAGAAAATCAACAGCCTTCTGTGTGAGAGGTTTGTGAGCATTAGAGATGACACAAGACTAGCAGCCGTTTTGGATATTAAACAAGTGAGTGAAGAGGAACCCTTCCCCCAGAATTCAAGCTTGTTTGCCCTCCTCCCCCCCCCCCAAAAAAAGATGTACCCATCACCATCTTGCCATTGTTGCTGTTGCCTATCTGCTTGCCTCTTCTTCTGGGTCCAATCAATAGGTAAAGGTAAAGGGACCCCTGACCATTAGGTCCAGTTGTGACCGACTCTGGGATTGCGGCGCTCATCTCACTTTATTGGCCAAGGGAGCCGGCATACAGCTTCCGGGTCATGTGGCCAGCATGACTAAGCCGCTTCTGGTGAACCAGAGCAGCGCACGGAAACGCCGTTTACCTTCCCGCTGGAGCAGTACCTATTTATCTACTTGCACTTTGACATGCTTTCGAACTGCTAGGTTGGCAGGAGCTGGGACCGAGCAACGGGAGCTCACCCCGTCGCAGGGATTCGAACCGCCGACCTTCTGATCGGCAAGTCCTAGGCTCTGTGGTTTAACCCACAGTGCCACCTGCGTCCCTTGGTCCAATCAATACCAGCCCATAAAAGAAGGAGGCAAGGGTCATACCTCAGCATTTAGCAAGACAGAACTTTGCATTTATGCTATTAAAGGGAATTAAAGTGCTCTGTTTCCACAGCACAACAAATGCTCATGTAAAAAAATAAACAAATAGTAGGTTTTGGAAAGTGAAGAGGAACCAAGTTGAAACGTGTGAGATCAACTGCAGAATGAATGCTTATTGACATACAACTGCCCCATAAACAATTCCAAATGACTGCTCCACAAAGACTGCAACACTATGCATGGTGTTCTTAACCTCTTCTGTTGTGACACATGCCTGTCATGTACTGGTTGGATGCAGAGGAATGGTGGGAGGAACCAGCAGGGGAACCACCAAGGGAAGAAGGCCCAGAGCCCAGGGAGTGGTGTTGGCATAACGATGAGTGGAAGAGGGAGAAGACTGGGAAGAGGAGGTCTTCAAAGCTCAGGAGGTAACAGGACCTAGTGAGCTGGAACAGTCTGTGGCAGAGAGAACTCCAGAATCAGAGGCAGAAGCTGAAACAGGAGGGTGGGAGGAGGGAGGCCAAGAAGCAGAGCTAAGTCAGGATGGTGAAGTCACAGGTGTCTCCCCTGCCTGCTGTGGCAAGCTCCCTTCCCACTGGTCTCCCAGTATCAGAAGAGGCATGAAGCGGGAGAAGCAAAGACAGCCACGCAGGCACAGTCTCTGATTGCTTGGGAGGGGAGGGGGACGGGACTCCAACATGCACAGTGTGATTTATTGCTAGCTTGCTCCTGACACTGCTGTAAGTAACGCACTCCCATCCCAACGAATATCTGACTAGCCACCTCCCTGATTTGCACCCAGGGTGTCGGACCCCCAAAATTCTAGTTAGAAACATAGTAAGAGCTCTGATGGATCAGACAAAATGATGATTTACTTCAACGTCCTGTTTCCCACAATGGCCAACCAGATCTTGGGGAGGCCAAAGCTGAGCATAAGGGTCCTCTCTAGGGTGGGGTGAATCTGTTAATTTTGGCTTCTCTCAGTTTCTTCATTTTCCAATCTTAAATTCAGCTCTCTACATTTCCACATCAGTTTGTGATTCCCCCCCTCCTAATAGGGATGTTTGTATGCAATTTTGCCCCAAATGCACATCCCCCCCAAGGCAATTCCCCCTAAAATAATGCATTGTATATGTTATTTTCACAAGTATATTCATGTTTTATGGACATTTTACAGAAGAATATGCACTATTGTATGCATTACTTCATGGAAGAACTGCATTGCAAAATTCAGAGGAGTGGGCATTTTGAAGAAATGCTGTGTTTCAGTTCTTCTATTGTTTCAGAATGGGCAAATCTGGTAGGTTCGTGCCTCTGAACTTGGATGGTAGTACAAAGCCAACATGACTAAGAGCGATTATAAACTTGTCCTCCATTTTTTGCCTAATCTCCTTGTAAAGCCGTCTAAGTTGCCGACCATAACTGGCCCTTCAAGTACTGAATTACATAGCTTTCTTATGAAGATGCACTTCCATTTGTCCTAAACCAGCTTCATTTTAGTCTCTCTGTGTGCTTTCTCTACACACTGCATAATGTTATAAATATTCGTCATCTCCCCACTTACTGTCTTCTAAACAAGGCCGGCTCTACCATTTGGCAGAGGCAGGCAACCATTTCAGGCAGCAGATGCTCAGGGGAAACAGGAACAGTCTCTGGCCATTCCTCTTGAGCACCCAGCCATTCTTCTTTGTTGCCATATGGTATCTCCTGAGGTCCTCTGGTATGGCGGAGGATGCTATCCCATCACCAGTGCTGAAGGAAGATTCAGCTACCAGCCCACTGGCCGCTACACATAGAATTGAGAGGGATTGTCACCTTTGCCTCAGGCAGCATAAAGTCTTGGACTGTCCCTGTTTCTCAGTCAGGGGTATGGAGCTTGTGGCCCTCCCAGTGATGTTGAACTAATACTCTCGAAATCCATGCCTGTTGGTCATGCTGGCTGGGACTGACGGGAACTGGCTTCCAATACCATTTGGAGGTCCACAGGTTCCCCATCAATGTTCTAAACAGCACAGCAACATCCTGGCCTGCTGCAATGAGGACTTTATTTCAGGGCAGTGGGTGTCTTGGTTTAAACTGCATCAATGGCTGTCATATGGCCACATCCGATGGTATTGCAGTTAAGAAAAGACCCTGATATTGGGAAAGATGGAGGGCACAAGGAGAAGGGAACAACAGAGGACGAGATGGTTGGACAGTGTTCTCGAAGCTACCAGCATGAGTCTGACCAAACTGCGGGAGGCAGTGGAAGACAGGGGTGCCTGGCATGCTCTGGTCCATGGAGTCACGAAGAGTCGGACACGACTAAACAACTAACCAACAAGAACAAATGAAAAAGTGTGATCTCAGATGGAAGCCCTGTTAAATTCAATGCAGCTTATTCATGGGCTACAGGACTGCAGCCTAAACATGAATTTGGAAAGGAGTTTCATCACCTTCTGTCCCTGTTCCATTTTCCCACAGAGATGAAGCTGTAAAGGATTTTTATGGCTGCCTAAACAAAGAGCAACAGCCCCGCTCACTCCAGCCTCTACAGCGATCCTGGAGGTTTGTGAGTTGTTATCTGCTTTGCATCCTCGCTCCGCACAACAGAGGGACCGGATTTCATTTCTGCCACTTACCAATGCGCCGTGTTTGTTAAACAGTTCAGTGGAGGCGTTGGAACTGTTGGGGGCACTCCGTCCAGCCAGACTTCGCGACTGCAGCAAATCTTTAATCGTTGCTTGGCGCTTTACTGCCTGAAGGATAGTTCTAAGAGAAAGACAGACAGCAAGAACGGTTACACAGATGTGACGTTTGTGAACATAAGCATGACTCTGAGGCCATCAACTTCTCATGTAACGAGAGTGGACAGAATTCATTCTGCTCAACTGCTAAAATCAAACCCCTTTTTCATTAGTGGCACATGCAAAGCCACCTTATATTGAATCAGGCCATTGGTCCATCTAGCACAGCATAGCTCAGTGTTGTCTAAATTGATTAATACTGCCTCACCAGGGTTTTAGGCAGGAGGCTTCTCCTACCTGTGAACACCAGGGATTGAACCTGAGGATTTTTACCACTGAGCAACAGCCTTTTCCCTATTTGCATTTATACCCAGCATCACATCACCAGGTTATTAAAAAGGGAACCCTGACCATTAGGTCCAGTCATGACCGACTCTGGGGTTGCAGCGCTCATCTCGATTTATTGGCCGAGGGAGCTGGAGTACAGCTTCCGGGTCATGTGGCCAGCATGACTAAGCCGCTTCTGGTGAACCTGAGCAGCACACGGAAACGCCGTTTACCTTCCTGCTGGAGCGGTACCTATTTATCTACTTGCACATGACGTGTTTTCGAACTGCTAGGTGGGCAGGAGCAGGGACCGAGCAACGGGAGCTCACCCCGTCCCAGGGATTCGAACCGCCGACCTTCTGATCGGCAAGCCCTAGGCTCAGTGGTTTAACCCACATCGCCACCTGCGTCCTACACCAGGTTATTATGGACCCAATAATACAAGGGCAGGAAAGAGACCAGTTCCCCCATGTAATTTGGATCTGAGCACTGAGACACACTAAAAAAGATACGAAATTCCTAGACTGCTTGCAAAGTTCAGCAATATTTCGCCTGTGCATACAACCTTCTCCCTGGGATACAGAGAAGAAAAAGGAAAAGATTTCCTCCACCTACCCTGCTCCCCTTGTGAATGGGTTTTCAGGGCTGAGTCCCTGTGTTGTGCTTGCTGTTAGGAAGTGGGCTATTTGGCAAAGCAAAGGGGGGAAAATATTGTGGTTGCTTCATTTTCCTGCACAAGAGGGCAGCGTTTCCTTAAATCCGGGGAACATGGCACTTTGGAAGAGCTTTTGCCGGTTTACAAAAACATGGCAGACATGTGATATCTTACTAATTGTTTGGATTTTCTAATTGTCTCGGCTGCAAGTAATTTAATGCATGAAATAAGCTCCTGCCCAGCTTAGCGGCTATCTGGAGAAAGTACAGTTACCAGAAGATGTCAGGAATCCCAATGCCGGCTGACTCCTTTCTTGTGTGCCCAAGGATTTATGGCGTGGGCTGCAAGTCAACTGTTTATATTGCTAGTGACATTTTATCTCCAGTGTTACATAAATGTTTGAATACCTGATGCCTCTCTGCTCCAGAGCTGTCTTTCACTAACTGAGGCAAGGAGGAAACTGTAGGTTATGATAGGCTACATGTTGTAAAGTCACTAAACCCCAAGAGAAGCTGTTCTAATTCGTAGCTCTAACTTTATCCTGGTTATCTGGTGGGGTGGGGAATCAAAATCTTACAGCGAGAAATGAGGGGCATTAAAAACTAACTTGTTTGCCACAGCGGAAAGGCGCTCTGGATTTTACGCTCTCCTTATTTGTATGTGGAAGAATGAACGATCACGATAAACAAAATAAATACCATTCTGTCCGCCTTGCAGGCTGGTCACAACAACATCCTAATGACTGTCCCTTGAGGGGAACAGAACCGTTTTTGTGGGGCACAAATGAAACTGCCAAAACGTTTTCTGTTTCCAGGATTTAAAAAATTGTACTTGCAAATACAGTCGTACCTCATTTTGTGGCTGGGATCTGTTCCAGAGCCCCAGCCGCTAGCCAAAAAGGACGCAGGGCAAAGTGCTGCGTCTGCACACGTGTGTGGAGTGGTTTGCGCTTCTGCGTATGTGCGAGTGGCAAACCCGGAAGTAATCCGTTCCAGTACTTCCAGGTTTGCCATGGACGTTCACCAGAATGGACGCTAGACAAGGCAGACATTCATGGAGGTATTACTGTAGATCACAAATGGTGCTTGAGCTGCTTCTACACAAAAGAAAGGATCCATCCCTTGTTAATGAAGTTTCCATAAGAAACCTTCAGTGCAATCTGGACCATGTTTACACAGAGGGAAGTCCCATACAGTGCATTGAGCTCAATGAAATTACTTTTTAGGAAGTGTGTTTAGAATCATGCTATTTATTGCATAGACAGGTTCGCATGTGTGGGCTGTTTTTTGCACACCCTCCAAGTGCCCTGAATTTCCTGGGACATCACAAATGCACAAGAGCTCATCCCAACATCCGATTGGATCTAGGAATGTCCCCTTTCCCCCCTCCAGCACCACTGCAGGAACTGACTGCCCAGCCTATCAGCTGTGGGGGAGGGCAGCAGAGACCCCATTCTGCTCTTGACATCCAGACAATCATCCCAGGGCAAGTCAGAGCAGTTTAAAGAGTTTTGCCCTCATTCCTGTTTTTGCCACTCTAGGACGTTGTTGATTATGTATAAAAAAATTAATAAAATGTTCAGTAGCACCTTAAAGACCAACTAAGTTTGTTTTTGGTATAAGCTTTCGTGTGCATGCACACTTCTTCAGATACCAGTTATCTGAAGAAGTGTGCATGCACACAAAAGCTTATACCAAGAACAAACTTAGTTGGTCTCTAAGGTGCTACTGGACAGCCCTCTGTTGTGTTTTTGTTTCGCATCCCAGAAGCACCAACAGAGCAGGGGAACTAGGAAACGTGCCCGACAAGTGAGACTGGTGCCAGATTCTGGGGAGAGATTATGTCGGGACGGGACATGACATGTCATGATAATGTCAGGTCATGACAGGTCAGGTCGGCTCATGTCATAACAGGTCATGTCATGTCATATCATGACAAGACAAGTCATTTTTTTTTATCGTGAGACAGGCAATTCTTTACCAAACAGCATTCTGTGAGAAGCCTGCTTGCTTTTTGGTCTGATTCAGAAGTAAACTGCAGTTTCCCTGGGGGAAAGCAGTGGGACAAATGGAGGTGTTGCAAGTAAATCCCTTACTTGCACTTCTTCCATCATTTCCAGTGGAAGGGAAATTCTTGCAGGTGGGACAACCCACAGGAATCTCCCCTGCTGGCAAGAGCCTGGCAGAGCTTAGGACATGGTGGCTGAACCCCCTTTGGATTACAGCCTAATTGGTGGAAAGGCACATTAATCAACTCCAAAAAAGCTCCCTTTACTAGTTGAACAACCCAACTTCAGTCCCTGAAATAAACCAAAGCCATTTGCTGCAGAGGTAGTATGTAGGCGGACTGTTTTCCTTTCCACCAATCACCACAAGCAGTCACATGCCATGAATAATGCTGTACCATGCCAGTCATTGCAGCCCCCCAAATTAAAACCTGACCCTCCCCCAGTCCTTTTCTGGTAACATTTATTCCCGCTGTTTCCTACACTTAATCCTTCCATACTTCCCAGGTTTAAATCCTTCGTCCCTCCTGTTGCTCCCAACAGCAATTCACTGAAGCTGTGTACACTTTGCCAAGAACAAGCAATAACGGGTCTCACCAATTCGTCTCTTCTTTGTAATTAAAAATGTTGCTTGAGAGCCCAGAGACAAACGAGAAGACACCTCTCAAGTCACAAGGAGCAACACAACAGAGCGAACGAGGCCATTTCCAGAACAACATTATTTCACACAATTCCCTCTCCACCCAGCCCCAATAAATAGGCATTCATTTCTCATTGGTTGTGGTTCTCCTCGACTCAGTTTGGGAACTGGCTCAATCGTTAACTATAGGAACTGTAGGCTTTTGGACTAAAGCATATCTGTTTCATAGAGCTGTCTCCTGGGTTGGGCTATTGGTCCAACCACTTTGCAGAGGCAGCAAATCTACGAGATCCCTGGCCAGCTCTGCCCCGCTCCTGGAACACAGTGCTTAAGGGCTTTCTAGAAATCTCGAGAGATCTGCCTGCTCAGCAACCAGTGGTAGGCAGCTCTGCCAGTCGTGTTGAGTGGAAGGAAACCTCTGTTCAACACACACACACACACACACACACACACACACACACACACCGCCTGGTCTAAGGGGACTTTGGACCACTCGGTAAGTAAGAGAAGACTTTATGGGGCAAATGGTCCTTGTTCCGCAATGCAGCTGAGCAAGTTTCTTCATCAAACATGCCAATCAAACTGGTGACTTCTCACTGAAGTTTTTAATTACCTTGATGGGACGTCATCCACATTTGAATTACCATGTACAGTGCATGAAAGCTTTGCTTTTTTTGTTTTGTTTTTACAAAACACCTAAGAGACCCAACCATGTGGTGCAAAGAACACCTCTTTGAGATGTGCTTTCTGTAATCCTGATTCACTCCGCATATTCTGGCCTTGCCTGGAGATAAGGCCGTTTTGGTCTAAAAGAATAAATCCAAACCATAACAGGTGACGAAGTGCCTTTGGATCTGCTAGTTGTACTCTTTGGTTATAAAGAAAAGCTCGTGTTAGCTGACGATACTGAAATGATAACCCATTTGTTCATTGCAGCAGCACGTCTGTTGCATTTCTGAAATATTCAAGGCGCAATATTTTATGCCAGGGAAAATGTGGCATTGTGATTTGTTGCTGTGCAGAATGCAATTGTGTAAGTGCATGAGAATCTATTGGCCTTTTTTGTGTGTGTGTAACACTGTTAATAAAGAGCAAGATATATGTTCTCCTTCTCTTCCCTTCCACATACAGGCACAATTTGTTTTATCACCCTGCCCCATCTCTCTCTCTCTCTCTCTTTTTTTTACCCAGGAGCAAACAGCAGGAAGGCTACCGTCACATACACACCACATGAAGCAATGTACTGCCTTTTTGTATATCTTTATTTTCATTTGATATGTTGTCTAGATGTGGTGATCACACAGATGATCTCTCATTTGACATGTATTCTAAACTGTGTTCATCTACTGCTCCCATGTTTCTGCAGACAGCATACATTTTTCACTGAAATGTACTTGC